TGTGCTTACCTAGCAGATGTTTGGTGCATTTCTGATAGGTTAGTTTTCTGTCTTTTCAATAAGTTGAATTGCCCTAGTGTGTGGTCAGCACCACCATAGCTTGGTCAGGGTCAGCAGGACTTCCTCCCCAGCAGTGAGCTGTAATTCTGTTCACACGGCCTTTGAAACTATGCCCTAACTGTACAAATAAGAAAGAGGTTTCTGCCAGTTCAGTTCCTTGAACTGACTCCGCAGGGCATTATGTGTATACCAATGCCAGCACAAGAAGAGATGAAATAATAAAGCAAAAATGGGGAATGGGATAGGAATGCCTGTTTCAGCTAGCCATTTCAGTAGCTGAGCAGCAGCATGAAATGCTGCCTGAAAGTTTAGCATTTAAACATTGAAGTTGGTGAGTTTTTTCACCATTATACATGCTCTTCAGCACAGTCACATGTTTTATTAGAGGTGATTTAAGTTAAAGCATTGCAGTACAGAGTACCATTGTTACAAACGCTGGATTTGTCAGTGCCCTTGTGTTTAGGGATCACCAAGTTAAATAAAGCAACAACGCACAAAAGAACCTACTACTGAATGTTTATGCAACTTGAAAGTGCAAGTGTGAAAATATATTGTGTAATTAATCTATAAATTCTTGTCAATAATATTCTTTAATTTCACATTATTAAAAAAAGATAGGAAACATAAGGGAATAATCCTGTAAAAGGTATCACTTTTTCATTGTATGTTACAAGTCACACTGGTTACAAAGGATGTGTTTGCAATGCATGAAGTTGTGCACCACCGTGAGCCATAGCCTCATTTATTCTGTGTCAGGTAAATGAGGGAGGAACCTGATTTTCATTAGCCTTTATTTTAGGATGTAGTTGAGCGTGATATTTGCAAGTGTCAGAGATGCTAATCACTTAATTTTTTTCCTTTTTTTTAAGTCCATGGCAATTCTATCTCCTCAGGCCAAAATCAAGATTACACTCTACTTTAGGAACTCTGATATGTAATCAAGGACATCAGTGCAACTCCTGGCAGTTAGCACTCCTAGCTGTCATCCCACCTATAATATACAGATGGTCAAGGTGCTGTTGAGCCCGTTGCTGAGCATTGCTGTTAACTGCATGGCATTTTAACACAACACAGTAAAGACAAACTTCAGAATCATGCACTGCTCTCTGGCGATTCAGCAGCCAGTTCAGAAGTAGCTCATGCACATGTACGCTTCAAGTGAGAAGATGAGATGGAGGATTAATTCAGTAGGGCATTCCAAGCTGTGCTGCCTCTGCTTATAAGAGCTGTTAAAGTCTGACCAGTGTTTCAGACTTGTTACTTGCTTAGGAGAATTTGAATTACTGTTTGATTCACTGGCAAGAGCCATAGTGGGACTGAGATACTGACTGCTAAGGAGTATTAATCTGCTGGTTGTTCTTGTGTACACAAAGGAATTTCACCTGCTGAAGTGAAGCTGGCATAAGATTATATCCTCATAATCAGTATAACTTCATGGATCAGGCCTGTTGTATATCAGTCTTAACAAGTCACTGTGTTAAAAAAAAATCCCCAGAGGGATATATTGGCATTTATCCATTTTAAACAGTCTTAGTTTAGTTTTGTTTACAGGGTACTTTCACTACAGAAGTTTAAAAATGCAATGTTGCAACAGTGTAAATGCAGCAGTACATTTTATGCCTATAATAGGCCTGTTTCTAACTTAACTCTGAGCTTTTAAACTTACCAATTGGAGAGTCAAAGCAATTAAAGTTTCACAGCTTCTCCATAAATGCATTTATCAGCACTTATAACTCAAGAACTTTACACCTTTGCAGTCTGTCCTCAAAAACATGTTATCACAAGCTCAATAGCCTCAAAAACTGAATTTGCAATGAAATAAATAAGGCTTTACCAGAAGGATGGTGCTTCATGCCGAAAAACTCAACTATATATACATTTTATTATTATTTCGTGATGGCTTTGAATGACAACACTTCAACACAAAAATGTGAAGAGCTAATACCCCCTTCCGTTTGTTCAAGTGATAGGTTTTCTAAAAAGAATCCAGTAGGATGATTAATGTCACATCAAAAGAGGCCTCAAGTTGCCAAGTTCTAATGCATGCATGAAAATGCAGAAAAACCAAGTATACTCTACCAATGCATCGATTACTGTTGTAAACACTAATTAAAAAAGCCTGCTTTCATAGCTCTTTCATAATGTAGCTTTTCAATGTCAGTTGGTACTGATACGAATTGTATCTAGGAAAGAACCTAGTTATTGTGTTAGTCAAAGATTTTTTTTTATAATTGTAAAGGTATACTAACAAATTCTGTCACTTCAATTATCCCACTTAAGTCCCAGAAATAAAATTTTTTATATATATGTGTACACGCTTTATGCTATCGCAGTACTTTCATTGTAATATTTTTCTAGGCAGTGGATTTCTGCATATAGGTTATAGTAACTGCCATGTCAGAGGTGGTTTGTGTAATAATTTTATTGATTATTGATGGGTTTCAGGGCTGTTTTCTAAGTTGTCAAGAGCTAGTGTATACTGTATCTCTACCAGCTTCTCTCTAGAAGTTTTCTGTTGCTACTAGTAGTACGGCTGTAGCAAGGAGAACACTGACAGTGTTAACATTTTTATTTAAGTAGTAGTCTGAGTTAAGGAAACATGTTAATAGTCTGTGCAAGCTATTAAAAATGTTCTGTCAATTTTACATAGCAACTCTTTATTGTGGTCTGACCATAGTAGTTGCAGATTCTTACTCAAGTGAGTATATTCCTTTTCCATTGTATGTGTGCCCCACGTGCTCATGCTCAGATGATTTGTATCGCTTTGACAGCTGGTTCTGCATCCATGAGTTTCCTTGTGCTTATTCCAGGCAGCCTGAAGAGGTAGGACAGCCTCAACCAATTCTCCAGATTCCTCTTCATCATAAGAGTTAAATCTTGTTTGTATGCTTGAAGTACTCTGTTCACACAAGTCTAGTTCCAATGAGGTGCTCCTCAGATGGCTCTTTTAGATAAAGCTTCGAAAATTCACCTCTAATGGTTTCTGCCTCTTTGAGAGTCAGTTTCCATATGGCTGGAGCATCATAGTTGAATACATGGGTATTCCGTCACTGGTTTACTGCAAGGTAAATGATGTTAGTTTAAGTCGCTTTCAGTTTTTAAGCCGACTTGTTTTACTGATACATCTTAGCTGTGAGGGCAGTTGCATTTGGTTTAGGAGAACTAACTAGCAGGTGCAAAGTAATTCCTTAAAGCACACACCTCTTGATTCTGAAGGTTGGTCTTTTTGTTTCCTACCAAGACGACACTGCAGAAGGGTGCCTCTGAGCCGCAGGATGATCTGACAAGCAGGACAGAATGATTGGATGAGCAATTAAAAAGCTTTTGTTTTGGTTTGAGGTTTCTGTGTCTCAGCAGAATTGGGATGTATGTGATTCATACTTCAAGCTCATAGCTGGTGAATTCATGACTACGATCAAGAATTTATGCAGTTTTGAGTTTCCCTCTTATTTTTTCAATTTTTATTGCTAACTACTTGTAGGTAAAAGAGAATAATTTATTTTTTCTAAGATGCACTGTCAGGTGTACAGTGAAGCATTAACATTAAAACCAGCATTCTTAAAAGCTGTCCTTAAGTGGTGGTTGAGACCCTTAATGATGGATGCTTAAGTGTTTGTTATGCTTTTTTGAAGGAATTGGTTTTGTTCTGAGAGCTGTGCCATTTAGAAGTCATTCTCTAAAGGTGATAGTTGTTGAGAAAAACCTCTCTGAAGGTGCTTTGAATAGAGAAGTGCCATTCTTCAAGTTCAGAAATAGCTGGATTTGAAAACTTGTGAACACAGATTTCTCTTTCTTGGTTCTGAGAATCACATTTCAAAGAAAATGTTTTTGACCAGTAAAGTTCTTCGGACTGGGGAGGGATTAGGAGCATCACTTGTTTAGGGAATATTCATCTAGTCAGGCTTTCAAAGTCCATTGTGATTTCATCAGGTTTTTATTTAACAATCACCACCTTTAAAGCAGTTCGATTCTAAACAGTTTGTTAAAGGATTTGCTTAGCACTGCCTTTTGGATTTCCTTTCTTTTTTTTTTTATTTTAGAGGCATTTAGACTGTATGGCTACAACTAAGTGCATCTTGGAGGTTGTGATTGAGTAACGCTCTGTTCTGTTTGAAATTCCTTCCTACTTTTTTCTCATCTCTAATTTAGGATTCCTGCAAAAATAATACATCACCAAGACAGGGAATCTCTGTTAGAGAACCTCTTCCACTGCTTTTAAGAGTAAAACAAGAGTATACTTACATTGCTCCTAACAGCAAGAATAGAGGGATGCCTATGGCCAATTCTGGATTTGAGTGAGCTGTGTATTTTCAATATTTTATTAGTGCTGTTTGATAACACTGAATTAATAATGAAAAAATACGTGCTCTCTCTCATAGCTATTTGTCTTGCTCACAAGAGAGAGATCTTGTTACAGATAGTTGTTAGCACCAATACAGAATTCTGCCATAACCAGTACAAATTCTCCCCATCCTCTCAGTGAGGATTTGGCAATATAGCAAAGAACACAAAGTCCAACGTCTCAGAGATGAGACACCATTTAGTTCTGTGTTGAGACTTGAAAGGGTCAATATCTGTTAACTGGAGGGCTAACTACTAAGAGGTTGAGAAATCTGTGCTGAAGAGTATTTCTACTAGAGAATACAAAGTTTAGCTATAAATAAGCTCATGCGCGTGAAACTTCTATAACTGCACTGCTTTCCTTGCATTGTTCTTAAAAGTAGCTTTGACTATTAAGGTGCTCACAATTAGAAAATAATACCCTTCCTAGAAATAGGGGATGAGGCAAGAAGATGCATCCCTGTCAGTCTCCTATTTGTCCAGTACTTCAGGTTATGGACCAGAAGTCTCTGCTAGGCCACTTTGCCATTGTAAGTGTTGCCTGTTTTGTCCTGTGGCTGTATGTTGCTTTTTTTCATCCTCTGTTTCTTGTTTCTTCACCAGGTTCATCTGTAAGATCCAAAAATAAGTGTGTCTAAGCTCCAAGGCTGATCTCTCAACAATTTATAGAGCTGTGGGAAAGTATGGGAGACTTCAGATGGCTTAAGACGATGTAAATTGCTGCTGCTGTGGAAAGGTGTGATTTACAGTTCCCCTCCACCACTGGTACAGCAGTAGCATTTGCATGGTAATATAGCAAGTGCAAGTCATTCCTTGGGCTGAGAACTGACATGGACAAAAATAAAACTTTGCTGCTGGCTGCAAAGTCGCAGATGTACCAGTGCTGGCAGCAGCTTGGTTGGCAGCTCAGCCAAGAGATAGATTAGGTCTAGCCCTTTTGATGACAGAATTGTTTTGAATAAGGTAGTAATGAGTCTGCAACGTTAACAAGAAAAGAGCTTTCTTCCTTGTTAAGACTGTGGACAGAGTATTCGTGGAGGCTTGGAGAAATCAGATCTCTCCATCTTTCATTTACTGGGTTTGGGGCAAAAATACTGATGTGTTGATCTGCTAATTTAAAGTAATTGCGTGACAGAGAACATTAAAGAGAATCTTTAATTATAATTTTGCAGTGCCACAGATATGTTAGGTAAGGATCTTTTATTCTTCATGTCTGAGTCAATTTCTGTAAAAGTTATTTTCCAAGCTTTGCCTCCTGTGCAAGTTCAGTATTTGACTGCAAGCTTTTACTAGATGAACAATAAATTAAGCTTTTCTTTTCACTGTACTGTATTGTTCATTCCCATGTGCTGCTGAGTTGGTGCAACACAGCCATAGCACTAATAATTAGTATTCAATATTCGTGTTGGAACATGCTAATTCTGCAGGCCGAAACACTAGGAGTCTTAGAAAAGCATAAAATAAAGTAGCCGTAGGCTCTGTTGGTAAATATGACTAAAATTGAGAAGGTCATAATCATACTTTGTTATGGGAAGGATTATAGACCTGGCTTTTCTGATGGGAAAATGGTACTGATGTAGTCTGTTTTCTTTTGGGAAAATAATGTAGAAAATGCTGGAGACGGTGATTGCAGAATGGAAGATGTTACTGCTGTCTCAGAAGGCTGACAGAGGGGAACAGGTATTCTCCATAAAATTGGTTTAAACTGCTCAAAATAAGCTTTCTTGTGCATAGCTCTTTAGACACTCAGTGAAGTAAAACTTTACAATTAGATAATCCTTTATTGCGTCCTTGAAAATATCTGTACAGTAGATCTATGTGGAGGCAGTCAAAAGATTTTGCAAATCAGATTGCTTTCAAAATATTGGGGTTTTTTTTGTAATTGCAAGCAACTCTTGTTGTCCCTGTAGTTAAGAAGATAGTGCATTCTTGAGTTGTAGAATATTCCACGTGGGAAGGGACATCAGGAGGTCTCCAGTCCAAAATCCCACTCAAAGCAGGATCGGCTCTGAGATCAGACTAGAATTTCAGCATTTAGTTTAGTTCACTTTTAATAGTTTACTCTTAATTTTTTGTGAAATACCATCATGTGCACAGTGTTTCTGGTATGTCAAATTGTCGCGAAGCAGTATGATCTTCCTCTGAAATAACTCTTCGCAAAAAGTACATGTTTCTTACCCAAAAGTATGTGTCTTACTAAATAATTGTCTAATTTGCTTTTAAGGCATTAAGCTTTTCTTTTTAGCTTTTTTTTTTTTTTTAATGACATAGTACTGTTTTCTGGCACTGTTTGTTTAAACAATGCAATATTTTGTTGCTAATAAGTATTTTATTTAAAAGAAGAAAACATCTGACAGAATATGTTGGCTGACTGGGAAGTGCTCTTTGAATAGTGGTTGTGTTGCAGCTTGCTGCACGCAGAAGTGGGTTACTAGAGTGCTCCTGCAAGGGTGCTGACATTTATTAGATCTTCTAAGGAGATAAAGCTTTTCAACATAAACTTCAGTGTCATATGTTTTATGTGTATGCCTGTCATCTTTTGTCTTAATTTAACTAACAGTGCAGCATGCTGGTGGGTGATTAAGAGTGGTCTACAGTGCCCAAATATTTCTATAGTCTTCCCTTCCATGCATTGATCAGGGTTTAGTATACCACTGTGCACACTTCCAAGGCCTGCAGTTCTTGCCCTAGTCAAGAGAGATCTCTCTTTCCAATTGTAGGAGCAGAATGAGCTTCAAAATGAGTTACATTTTTATTTGCGTGGTTGACTAGAAAAGTTTAGAGATCATTGGGGTAGGAGATAGTTCCTAGTAGTTCTAGCAAAGTTAAGGAGTGAAAAACAGCTAGCTATATATACAGCTTTTCTACATATGTAACTACTTTCATTAGCATTCTAACTTTTTGTATGGTTACACAGCACCATTCCTGTTTGTGAAATAAATAAATCTTTTATACAGTATAAAAAATCCTTTATACTGACAGCATTTATTCTTATGTTCATACAGGAAAACGTGTTGGTACTAAACATCTTTATAACTTTGCCTGCAATGAGAAGGCTGTATAACCTGTGTACCTTGTGTAGTTGAAACAAAACAAATTTAGTATATAGATAAATCCTTTAGTGTAAGAGTACTGTCTTGGTTCATAGAAGTAGATACGACAATGTTTTTAATACAGCTTTTGTCAGGAAAATTGAGTGTTCATGGTGCTTCATAATTTGTGTATGTTCCTTTTAAGTACTGCCTAGTGAATATTTGTAAATTGATCCCCAAACAAGGCATACATCTGAATACTTCATACTGCATTAATATAGTAGTGTCTGTTAAATCCTACAAAATTCTTCTTATGAAGATTTGGACTTCTTATGTTGTAACTACAGTATTGATGGCAAAACAACGTCTGTTTTTTAAACATGTATATTTTCTGCCTCCCAAGTAGTGCCTCCTATTAATTACAAAGTTGACCTTGAAACACTCCTGTTAGTACTAAAAAATCAGTATGAGTTCAGAAGAAGTTAGATTCCCCGCCTTGGTTTGCATTAATAAAACTGCTCTGTTCCAGTTTTTAAGATGTTAATTATGTCCCTGCTGATGTCATGGTCAGTAATACACTTCTGCTCTCACAGGGAGTTTATTATATCATTGCTTTTTGGGAAAGCAGAAGGGGAAAAATAGGAAGTCTCTGTGTGAGTTGCTTGTAAAAAAATACAGAAGTTTGCAAATAGAAAAGAAATTATTACTTTTATAGTATAATCAAACTTTAAATTCTGCAGGGATGTCACCTTCAGACAACTAGAAACATACTTTACTTATGTGAACTATATTTTCCCAAACATATTTTTACTATTGAGGCTATAGATGTTAAGCATCTTCTTTCCTTTCTTTGACAGGAAATTCTGGTGATTAAAGATCATGGCAACCATAGAGGAACTGGCCCATCAAATTATTGAACAGCAAATGGGAGAGGTACATAAATTTTGAGTCCTATTTCAGAGACATTGAATAATAAAATGCACAGACTGATATGTAAAAACCAAAATCACAAGAGAAAATTTTAGTACACCCAAAGCTTCCTGAGACTCTCCCATGGAAGACAAGAAGAACTTACCATGTCCATTTTAAAGTTATGCTGCAAAGGCTTTCTTGCCAAAGTTTGCCCCACAGAAATGAAGCTAAGAAAAATCTAGCAGTGTTTCCAGTAAGTGACTAGCTCTTCAGCTCTACTTTTTGGGCCTGTAGTGGTCTTCAGAGAGCCGTCTGGTTGTAGAATTGCTTTGCTCACTTTCAGTTACAAAATTTATAACCAAGAGAGTTGTCAGTACATAGCTTTTATTTTCCAATTAAGCAATTGCTTCAGTTGTCATTTTTGTTTTCATGAGTAAAGGTTTGCCATGCTCTGCACTGTAAAATATTTGTTGGTGTTTGGTATAAGTCAAAAGGAAGATTGAACTCTTGTTTCTGCTAACTTCTGGTTTTCATTTTCTGTAACCTGTGTGCAGAATCTCTGTACTGCAGCCAGAGAACTTCAGAGATGCACAGTTTGGGAGTGTAGATAGGAGTACATATACTTATCTAGAAGGTTTCATCATAGTACAGTCTATTTAAAATTAGCACCACTTTAAATTAGATAGAAGCAGTATCTTATTTATCTTAAATAAATAGTATTTTTTAGCTTGAAATATCCACTCTTGGTTTCTTGTCTAGACATAGACTTACTTTTCAAGTAACTTTAGCCCTTCTCAGTCTTGATTTCAAATAGAAAGGTTGGGGAGGGTGGGGTGGTTAATTCTATCCTGTATAAATTCTTACAGCTTTTATTGTTATAGCATCTGAGTGTTGCTAAGGCTATCTCAAAGGACAGAAGTGATTTATGTAACGTATGGTGTTTTCTTTCTCTCACTTGTCTGTATAGGTGAGAATGGCTTATCTAGTGTAGCTTTGTTTTGGTAATATAATTCCTTGTGGAAGTCTAAATAGGACTGTATTTCCTGGTTTTTTGTTTTGGTTTGTTTTTTGGGGGTTTTGGGTTTGGGTTTTTTTTGGTTTTTTTTTTTGGAAAGTAAAGACCAGTCAAAGCTAGCTGAAGTGTACGTTCCACTCGGAAAAGAGAGTGGTGTGATGATGGTTTTTAGCCTCTGTGAGGGTTGTTTCTCAATTTCATAATGTCATTCAATGAGACACTGAGCTGACTTAGTATCTCGGCGCCGTGGGAGAGGGAAGGCCCTTTTTCTGTTTCTTACCTTGTTTAATTTCCGCGCTAGCAGCAAGCTAACCCAGCTAAAACAAGTGGAAGGTTTTCTGCTGGGTTAGTGCGTTGAGTAGGGTCTGAGAAGGCTTTAATGCGTACCAGAGCCAGCATAAAGGAGATGGCTGGTAGCCAAAGGAAGGCGGGGGAGAAGATGGAGGGAGTGGAGGTGCGACACTGCAGAGGGCTGTTGGCTGTCTCTGTTCATGGTGAAACTGCAGCCTTACAGTTTTCATGGATATCATTCTGTCAGCAGTGTAGATTAGGATTTGTCCTTTAGCAAGGTTTTACTGTGTCTGAGGCTGTCACATCTTATTTGGCAGCAGTGAGACTTCAGCATTGCCCAGTCCTCGCTTCGCCACTTATACTCACACTTCTGCTAGTCTTCCTCATGTCAGCTCTCTGTGTCATTGTGTGGTCGACAAAACTGGAAAAAAAAAAAAAAATTACAGGATAGTGGAGGGATGTCTTCTCCCTCCTAGTTGGGGTCAGTTCCCTTATCTGGTACAAGGTGCAGCCCAGCACATGGTTAGAAGGACTGAAAAGCATCATCCAGGGCAGTGCAAGGTGGGACTTTGTAAGCCAAAATTGCTGTCAAAGGTGTATGCCATGCATGAGCGCACTGCCTGAAAGGTGGAGTCAGCAAGGAAAGTGGTCTTACAGGGGCCTTCATGTAGTACTTGAAGTTACATTCCTACCTATCTGTGACCAGCTGTAAATGCCTGGTGGTGTTCCTATTCAATGTACGCATTGAAAACCATAGGTTAAGGTCTATGAAACTTCAGCAGTACTTTTGCTAGCATTTGTAATTCTCTTGAATGTTGAAATAGTTCTAATTGAATTTACAAGAAAAATTTACATGAGTAAAACAAGAAAGGAGAAAGACAGGTATTTCCATTCTGAGAACAGAAAGTGCTCCTGTGTCTCATTGAAATAATGGTCAGAAGTGTTCCATGCGTAGGTTTTCATTTCTTTATGATATTAATTCTTGTTCATGAAGCATTTTAAAACACAAAATTATCAGAAATGATCTTATGATGATGTTCACAAATGTGTTTTTATTAATGTAGGACAGGTTTTTTGCATAAAAGCAAAACTTACTAAAAAAAAGAATTTATAGCCTTGCCTATATGGAGCATTGCACAATGTTTATCTTTTCTCAGATTCTGCCAACTGCTAACCATCTTTTGCTGAGTGTGAGATAATTAATATTTCTATGTCAAGATGAAATTCTTTGATTCATGTAGGGAAGGTGTCTGTCAAGAGCCCCCAGCAATCTTTCTTTAATCTGTGGTTGGATACACTGAGTATATGGTGGTTTGTTTCCACAGTCCTGCCAGGTAACAGTAACCGAGGAAAGCTACGTGTTTGTTGAAACAGTCTGTCATACACATACAAAATATAATTTATCACAAACAACTGCAGTTATTCTTACCAGTATTTTTTAAACTGCAATAAAAAAAAATGTATTCTGTATAGAAGTAAAACTGTCAAGCTGACTTTTTGTGGGGTTGAAGAGCAGTTTTACCTTACAAGTCATGTAGATCATGACATTTTAAGGGAGCAAGCATAAAACAGTCCTGGAATATGTAGCTTATTTTGTAAAGCAAAGATAAATTCACATAAAACTCCGATTGCCTGTAAATCACTATGTGTACATGTCATTTCAAAGACTGATGCAGCATTTTAGTGCTTGAAGTGCTAAAACTCTAAATGTTGCTGTATAATGAACTCTTCTTTGTCCTTTACTTAAGCAAAGAAGTAGATGAATTGTTTGAATATGGAAGGTATTCATACTCATGAAAAATCGGGTATTTTTAGAAAGCAGTGTTTGAAAATGGCTTGGGCAGTAGTTTGACAGGCATTTCTTTTGATGCTGCTGGCAGCTTAAGTCATCCCCCCAGCAGCTTAATCCCACTTTCTCATTTGCTCTGATGTGTCTGCTTCTGAGCATTGTGGAGATCTGGATTGAAGGTTTGATCTGTGCTAATAATAGCCTTTGTCTGTTTTTTTGCTGGGCTGCTTTGTAACCTGTATCAGTGTCCTATTCCAGATCACTGAATGACTAACCAACCAATTTTACCTACCAAGCTGAAGGGATAGGAGCAAGTAGGTTATAAGAGCTGAGACTGGTACCAAAAGTAATGCATTTTCAGGTAAAATTTCAAAATCAGCTTTTAGGCTGATGGGAGCTTGTATTTCTGCTGTAAGGGGAGGTCTTACCCCACTGCTCCTTCCCCTTCTCATACTTACCTCCAGCTCTTGGTGTGCTCTTGCCTCCTTTCTTCTGCCTGGTACTAGCATTTATGTGGTGGTGGGGTTGCAAAATCAGGAAGCTGATTCAGGAGGAACGAAAAAAGCGCTCAACCTGTTATGAAACAGTACCTTTACTGCAGATATATCTATATATTCTCTATATTAATTCTTGGGGGGGAGGATGACCGTTGAAGTGCAGCATTTTTATAATCGTGTAAATACTGAGAATTATTATTAATACAGAATTGCCAGACGTTCCAGAGTTTTTGAACTGCAAAAAGTTCAGGGAGTTATTCAGGAATTTAAGACAAAAATTTCAGTTTGAAGGTGTCTGTAAAGTCTCTGAAGACAAACTTCCTTTGTACTGTAAAAAGTCTGGCCTTTCTGATCAAGCCTCTGTAAATAGCAGAGTGGTAGTAGTGGTACTTCTTAATTTTTATTGACAAATAATTTAATTAATAATATCCTCTCACATATACCTTTGGCTATAGCAAAATACTGATAATCGTTAAAGCACTTCCACAAATTGTCTCCAAGAGCATTCACACAGAGATTTAAATTTGTTTTAAGATACACTACTTGCCAACTTCGTGCATTTCATTAATTTTCTCTAACTTTCTTGATAGTTCCCCAGTGTAGAATTCTGTTGTTCTGTTTTTGCTGCTTTAACAGAAGAACAGAAACAGGACAGAAAAGGCCAACTGCTGTGTTTCCACACCAAAAATTCTTTTGTCACTTTAAGTAAGCCATTAAGGTAAAAATATTTTAGTGTAAATGTAGCACAGCTATGATGAAAGGTGTTGTGTTTAGTATGTGTCTCATGAACATCAACAGTAATAAATATTTAGTCTGATTGACTTACATGGACTTGTCAATAATGAATTGTTTTACTTGATGTATTTCTAAATTTCAAACTGGAAGGTATTTCAAAATGGGTTTAAAACAGTGAAACAAACAGAATTTTCTAACTAGCAAAATTAAGCTATTAAATTAGATCACAAGCATTTGCATTCCTTATACCGTAAGAGTGTCAGACTTTCCCTTGCCTTGTGCAGAGAAATCAAAAGTTGGTGAAACCTTAAGGTTTCGTCCATTAAGGTAGTGTATCCATCCTTAAGGTAGTATATCCATTGTCAGTCCATTACATTACATTTGTTTCTTTTTTTCTAGATTACCCATTCCCAGGGAGCTGTTACACAAACACTAATGGATGGGACAGCACAACGAATACAGATTGTCCCGGCAGATTCAGGCCTCTCTTTACCACAACGTATACAGGTATGCTTCATCTGACATATTTTAAAAGCAGAGATGAACTGTTAGTTCTGCCAGTTTTCATATATGGTTCTTTTTTATTTGCGTCATATTATTTGCTTGAATGTAAATATTCAGCCCTGGGTTGCAGAGATAATTTCTATATAAACAGGAATAAAACATAGTTCCAATGCTTCCCCTTTTTTTTTCTTTTTTTCCTCCTAAGAGTTTTAAGATTTACAAAAAATTATAACCACTGAACCGAAAAAGACTTTTCCCAATACTGTAATGATATTGCTCTTTAAAAGCTGAATAATTTTTAGATTTGATAATTCAACTGAGTTGTTGGAACATTTCTACATTTTGGAGCAGGGAGGGAGGGAAATACTGCATTGTATCATCGATACAGGTCATGACAAAGTGCAAGGCAACCTAATACCTGAGGATACTGGTTTTTGATTGTCCCAACTGATGTTGTATGTCCCAGTATGCTAATTCATAGCTTGGCCAGGTAATAATCTCCAATTCAAGTCAGGATAGGAAGTTTTTGGCAATGTGGGTAGTTAAATCAACATAGATGTGTGTATATGGAGATTAGGAGGATCTGGGGAATAGAATTTTACATTTTATCCCTTAAAAGTCAATGCAAGTCCTTGCAAACGTTTTATTTTTAAATTTCATCCTAGAGAAAAATATAAACTGCAGAATAAATTTTAAAAATATTCTCAGATATATGTTGTTGCATACAAAACCACTCTCACTTAAGCGAGCCAGTTGCTAATATAATCTTGGCTGCTTTTTCTTTTGCTGGCTTCACTCTTCAGTATTTTCCACTGTTTTTTCCTGTTTCGGTGCATTGCATTCAAGCTTTCAACCTTCCAAAACTCTTCACAACTGCCCCCCATACATGATCTTCTGTTTTATCACCCCCTACCTGTGCTCTAGTCATGGTACCAGTCTTGTCTATCCAGTAGATGTTTTTCTTTCAGCTACCTCCACTCCTTTTCCATTGCTTTGTGTACAGCTGTACCTTTTATTAACTAATTTATGTTAATCAATTAACCACCATCTCTTTATCCTCTGTTTTCATTGTCAATACCTGTATGCTATAATGTCCCTGCAGTGTGAAGCCATTTAATGTAATTTTGGCATCAGGGTCTGTATGTGGGACGATGACATATAAACCCATGAGCCTTTGTTGTTGAATAGCAGGACAGTTCTGTTGGTTCAAAGCCAGTGGCAGACTTCTAACCCTTGTTTGTCACCTGTTTTGCGGGGGGAGAACTACTTTTGGTTAGGCACTGTAATTACGGCAAATATGATGAACATGGAAGAATTTTATTTCTAGGGACAGGGACCTGTATATAGTTTTTCATTGTCTCATGTAGCTGGAAGATCACTTGTTTCTAACCCAGCTACTTTGTCCCTTGTCTTTTTTCACCACACTCATTGATTCTTGCTTCAAAATGGGATGGTAAGCGCTTTGGGGCGCTGGTTGTCTCTTGATATGTGTGGAACAGCGCTCAGTCGAATGGCATCCTTCTTGGAACAGGCATCTACAAACATGTCACCAATATTAATAATAATGAATTAGATATGAGATAAAACTTAATAATGAAAACTTTCCTCAAAGCAGAATTTATGTGAAGAGTAAAGTAGTTTGTAGGAATAAATACATCTCAGTGATATGTTCAAAATAAATGTTGAATTGATTCATTTTGAGATTATATTTTGAATCAATATTTTTTCCTTTATTTTATTATTGTTAAATGCACATAAATAATTACCTGAAATCTTGAAATAAAAAATCCTCAGTACAATGTTCTTTAAAACATAGAATCATAGAATCGTTTAGGTTGGAAAAGACCTTTAAGATCATCCAGTCCAACCATTAACCTACACTACCAAGTCAACTCTAAACCAATCAAGGGCAGACTAGACTAAACCATGTCCCAAAGTGACACATCTACCCGTTTTTTGAACACTTCCAGGGATGGTGACTCCACCACCTCTCTGGGCAGCCTGTTCCAATGCTTGACTACCCTTTCTGTGAAGAAATTTTTCCTAATATCCAACCTAAACCTCCCCTGGCGCAGCTTGAGCCCATTTCCTCTCGTCCTATCGCTAACTGCATGGGAGAAGAGGCCAACACCCACCTCCCTACAACCTCCTTTCAGGTAGTTGTAGAGAGCGATAAGGTCTCCCCTCAGCCTCCTCTTCTCCAGACTAAACAACCCCAGTTCCCTCAGCCGCTCCTCATAAGGCCTGTGCTCCAGACCCTTCACCAGCCTTGTTGCCCTTCTCTGGACACGCTCCAGCACCTCCATGTCTTTCTTGTATTGAGGGGCCCAAAACTGGACACAGTATTCCAGGTGTGGCCTCACCAGGGCCGAGTACAGGGGCACAGTCACCTCCCTGCTCCTGCTGGCCACACTATTCCTGATACAAGCCAGGATGCTGTTGGCCTTCTTGGCCACCTGGGCACATGTTTCATTAGTCACCCTTTTTAGGGAATGCTAACATTTCTCTAGAATAAAAGTTGAATGTCACATTTGTTGTTAAACAGACATTTCTGTTCAAAACTGTCTCTGTTATAAACCATTGGATTAGTCCTCTGTGTTTAGACACTTTTTTTTTTTCCTAAAATGGGAGCACAGAATTATTGAGAGATTTAATTTATTGAAATGATGTTCAAATGGAAGTCAAAACTTGGTAACGGACAAGGCTTGAAAGCAATAAAGGAAAATACTATCCTCCGTTATCATCAGGGTGCTTAAATGAAATACATGGAGGAAGTGTATTTTTTAAGCAGGCAATTCTGCATTAATATATTCCTGGTTTATAACATTATCCCTTTAGTGATATTAAGTTTCAGATTATTAAGAAACTTAATGTGTTGTCACTGAGCCCTGATGGATTCCCTTGAGAAGATAAGTGGTTTTATTTTTCCCTCTGATTTTTTTTTCTTTCTCTTATCTCAACATTTTAGGTACTGCAAGTTGTTATACTTTGGTGGACTGCTCCACTTTTCAGAGTCCCATTGCAATTTAAGTGGAGTTTTTGCAGGTATATGGCCATAAGAGGTCAGCTGCAGACAGACTGTGCTTAATTGTTTAAACTGCTTTCTTTTATGCCTCTGTCAGTTGTCAAATGCTTGGCAGCTGCAGAAACTATTTGTGCAGATTGAGTAGCTTTGTGTGGATATTAATGTAACACTATACCTACTATATCATGTAGTGAAAACTACATGGGCACCCTCCTAGAATTGTAGGAAGCCATTTGAAGAATTGGGACCCTATTTGTTAAATAGGAGGTGAAGTGAATTGTGTGAAGTAGCAATGGTTCTTCTGTCTACTGTCCTGCCGTATTTATCTACAAATACATACCTTTGTTAAATTATGGAGATGGACTACAATAGGAACAAAGATAATTTAGCATATATATCCAAAAAATAATTTCAACTTTAGTTCAAATTTGTATCTTCACTGTTTGGGACATGCTGGTTTTTGAGTTAGTTTTATGCTATACTTAGATTGAGTATATGCCTATTTTGATGTACGCATAGTTGTACTTTTAGGTTTTGACAGGGAGACAGATTTTAGATAAGACTGTCTTTCAAAGAGCAGGTCTGGAAATTCAAGAAACAGCACAATATTCTGTGTTTGGCTTTTGTACATGTATGCACCCTGTTGAGGATAACAGGCATTGGATTTCTCCTAATACCAATAAAGTAGATGTTTGGAGAGAAGGGAAAACAAACATCAGCTACTTTGAAGATAGCCAGAAATGACACAGGAGAAATAAAGATTGTAAAATGAAGAAAAACAGAATGGAAGGAGAAAGTTAAGCAAAGAAGGGAATTAAAAGGGCAATAAAGTTTCCCTTCTAAAGATTATAGAACCAACATAAAGGAATAGAAAGGAGAAATAAGGGACTGCTATAGTTATTTGTGGTCCCAGACATGTCAATATCTGAGAAAACTTAATGGAAAACCCTGTATTAATTGTGTTGATAACTATTGTGGGGTTTTTGCGTTGTCTTTCTACCCTGCACCCCAAATCTCATAATAATTTACATTCTTTTCTTACATCTTTAGCCTCTGGAATTTTGTCATCTTACCTGGTCTTCTCTCTTAAATAAGCTCTTAGTTGTGTTTTGCAGAGAAAAAATCTGAATTTTGAGCCATTAGCTCAATAGTTAATAGCAAAAGGCCACCTGAAGGAAACAGATTCCCTTTGTATATTTTGAAACTCATAATTTCTGTATATTTGAAAGTGGCCATATTGATTTACAACTACTGGAATTAGGTACTCAATAACTTATATCTCTCGCTACTTACCTTCTAAAAACGTAAGCTACAGACAGGTTTTTGAAACAAATTAAGTATATTGAACATTTAGAGAAAGTAATAAGCTAGTTGTCAAGGTGCAATAGCAAAGTTGATAAGGACTTGTGTGAAATTATGCCTCATTCAGTTTCTTTGTGCCCCTATTCTCCTCCTAGAGAACATAATTAGTATTGCTGCCCTGATTACATGAAACTAGTTATAAGTGTTAGGCCATGAAATAAATCATTTAATCAGTAATAAGAATGATACAAATGTTAGGGATGGATAGATGGACATGAATGTTTGGTTATAGGTAAAATTATGGTAAAATAATAGGTAAAAAAAAAAATTAATTGGAGCTATTTTATTGATCTGTAGTTCAAAAATAGTTTGCAGGAAACAGTCTTTGTAGGATGGTTCTCCTTAGTCTCCAGAACAAACCAGGCAGTTTTCTGGAGAAATGTAGGAAGTGACTAAAAGTGAGATTTATAGTAGAAGAATTATGGAATCTTGATTATTTTCTCTGAGGATTATAATCTTCTGACAAAGCTGGCAAAATATTGAGTTTACTGAAGGATTACTGAATAAAGGTCTGCTGTATTTGTGTTTGAAAATAGGGATAAAATGGAAAAAAACAGTCTGTAGGTCTGTTCTTGATTATGAAACAAACCATGAAAGTAAGTTTTTCCTTTAAAAAATGAAAAAAATGGCAGGGAGAGAGATTCTGTTTTATCTATTTTATTTAGGAACATATATGTAAAGAAAGACCAGAAAAATTGAAGCCTAAAATGTATATACAGGTGCAACAAGACTATTGCTTTTCTTGCTGTTTGGTGCTTACTTTTTTCACTTGGAAGTCTACATTTATGTTTTTAAAGTTTCTTGTTAAGCAGCCAAATCTGGGAGGTGCTAAGCACTTCATGTGGTATGCAGTGAATTCAAGAGTTAAGATTTCTCATAACCTGATGGGTCCTAGGGCTGAGCTACATCAAATTCTGGATGCTAGAATTTGTCAAGGGTTTTGGTGGTGTTTTAAAAGCCCGGGCCATGTGTAAAACTTGAGTATGAATTCAGGTTTTGACTTCAAACACCCTTGACTGAAGTGTGTTTCAAATACAGTGGAAATCCAAGGTTTCACCTGAGTTTACTTCACTCTTGTGTGATAGAGGGGAAGATGATCCTGCTTCACAAATGTCAGAGGCAAAATTCCCGTTTTCTTCAAGTGCCCGGATTGGGCCCTAAAGGTGAACTTAAATTACCGTAACAATTTGAGATAAATGTATTATTAGATTGTCACAGATCAGCAGACGGGCCAGAAGATTCAGATTGTTACAGCACTTGATCAGAGCTCAGCAGGCAAGCAATTCATCTTAACAAATCATGATGGCTCTACCCCAAGCAAGGTGATCCTTGCCAGACAAGATTCCACTCCAGGAAAAGTTATCCTAGCAACTCCAGATGCTGCAGGTGTCAACCAACTGTTTTTTGCATCCCCTGATATATCTGCACAACACATCCAGGTAGATAATCCACTTTATTTCATAATTTTGATTCAAATGGGATAAGAGGAGATGTTTTATTTCCAAATATGTCTGTCTGAGTTCTCCTTTTTTGAGTTGGTTGTTTTTTGTTTTTTTTTTTTAACGGTATACTTCCCTTGCATTAGGACTCAGTAAGAATACTTGGAAATTATAAAGAAAACGGGGTTTTTTTGGTACTTTTATTGCTTTTGGAATTTATACCCTGGCTTATGAGATTAGAAAGAATAATGTTGTTGTTATTGTCATTTCCAGCTCCTGCCATACCAATAGTCCTTTTTTATTTCTGCTTCATTGATTCTCCATCTGTTTTGATGTATTGTTGAAAACATACTTTTTTCTCCCTTGTCTTTATCACTTAACATTTTCTTCTGCTTGTTTTCCTTTTCATACGCTGTTGTAACTACTGTTCAGCTGTGTGAATTGTACTCCAAGGTAGTTTCTCCAAGAGACTATTTAGTAGGGAAGTACATTACTCAGTGGGGGTGGGAAAATAACACTAAAGATTTGGAGTTTACTAATGTGAGATTGTAACTCATCAGGGTTGTAACTCCCTAAACTGGTCCCCAGCGCACCTTACTCCCACACACATTGTGTGGGAGTCCTCACCCTCTAACTTCCAAGCTTTCTGCCCCATCTCCTCACATGGCAAGGATGGGATGGCACTGACATGAAGAGTGTGAAGAACATGCACAGACTGGGAGATGTGAGCTCCTTCAGCATGAAGTAGGAGATTACAACACTCCAGCTAAAGCATAGTTATTGCATATTGTTTACCCGTGTGCATTTCTGCTGCTGTTAAAATACATCAGTGTGGTAGGCCAGGCAACATTAGGATAGCTACAGTCCACTTAGTGTCTTAAACTTAAGCAATGGTCAGAAACAAGTGCTTAAGGAAAGGTATTAAAAACTGGACAAGTAAATAATGATCCTTCTGAGCCTGTCCTTTCACTTCCATTAGTTGATGGTTTAGAGCAACCTCCTGATTTGGAGATTGCAGTGAGACCGCCACATTTGATAGCTGCCACTAAAGTTTAATAACCTTTTTTGTTATTTATATAGGCCATGTATGCTTTGGTCTGTATAATATCCCATAGTATAATTGTATGTTGTGCAAAGAATACTTCAGTTATTTTAATCTTCTGAGAGAAATATTTAATTAGGTGTCTCTTGCACTATAAGAAACAGCAATAAAGGATTCTATCGTTTTTATAAGTCACTATCATATCCTCTTTCAAGTAATCTCTTTTCCTAAGTGAAGACCCCTGATCTTTTTAGTTTGTGCTCTTCTGGGAGCCAGTGCACTACTCTGATTCACTATCCACATGTTGTGCAAGCTTGAAACATATCTCTGTATTGTATATTGCATATTTTTTTGAAACTCACAAATCTTTGCAAATGGACATCCAAGGTCCTTGCTCCAAGGAATTTGATTGCTATGGATAGGGGAGCAGTAACAAAAGTCAATCCTATTGAGAGGCATTTAAGGATGTTTAGTGGTATCATACATTTTGTATTTTAAGTAATCCTCAACAAAAGTGTAAGCCAGATGAGAAGTGTGCCACATTGGTTTAAAGAGCAAAATTCAGGTATAGGGGAAGTCTGGACAAAAAATGATAAGCTCCAGTTCTGGTTGTGCAGTTTGGACAAAATAGGTTTGTCTGAGAGACAATGGAGTATTCTGTCACTTTAGTTAGATTTTTCTGTTGTCAGCTAAGATGTGCGGGTAGAGATTCCCCCCCCCCCTTAAAGTTGGTGAAATATGGAGTACCATTCATTTGTTGTTCAACTGCAGCCTCTTTGGGATCTTTCATATTTTCTCCCCTAAATGATCTTTTTGTCTGCAATTTCACGTTTTTTGTTGTTCTTCTGTAGCCTTCATTTGAAATGCCCATTCATTTGCTCTGCAAAAAATCTCTCCTTTATTCTATCTTATCTCTACATTGACTTATTTGGCAAGACCCTTTTTCCTGTCATCTGTTTCACCTTCAGTGATTCTTCTTCATCTTAATAATAAATTTTTACTCTTCATGTTCAAGGTCAGTTCATGAGTTCTCTGAGTCTGGGATTTTTATCTCCTCATGGGCCAAATTCTGTAGTCCTTCCTTACACAGAACTTCCCATTTCAGTGCAGGTTTCATTTACGGAAAAACTTAGAATTTGTTTATATATATTTTATATAATATCATGAAAATACATAATGTTAATAATGGAAATTAGGAAGGAATGAAAGGTTAATATGCTTTTAACTAATGAATATTATTTTTCTTAAAAAGATGTTACATTAAAAGAAAACTTAATAGATGAATCTCTGAAACAGTATTGTTAACAAAGGCTAACTAGAAAGAAGTATGCTTGTTAAACATTCCCATATGTATCATCTATACTATCTTCCAAACTTTCAGAAAACCGTGGTTTCTTAATTTTCTCTATAGACGATAGGGTAATTTCTCTTTCAGTAAGTTATCTTTGTTTTGATCAGAGGTCCTCTTTTGAATATGCAAAGCAAGAATGAGAGAGGCTGGCTTCCCACTAAGACACAGTAGAAGTTAGAAACTCATAAAACTTCTAAATTATAATCTCTTCTTAATGGGAAGAATAATTTGTTCTTTTCTGCTTTACATTATTATTGAGATGATGCTTGGTTGTTACTTGTGATCATGTGTGTTCCTTCTTTAAATTTTTTGCTGTGCTTTATTTATGTCGCAGTGGGATAGAGTTTTTAAAGATAAAATGGAAGGCTACAGTGCCTACCCTGTAGTGCTGGCCTTCTAAGATTATGTGCTTAATGAAGTTTACGGGTGCCAGAGATAAATGAAAGAGACAGGGCAAGAATACTGTAATAATGTCAAACTGTTACTGCAAGCCAAACTATATACCACTTGACAGTTAATGATAGTGTCCAGAGTACATTTTCTGTCGGTTCACCATTTATGTGTATTATTAAAAAATGCAGTAATAAATCTGAATGTAGATACAGTAGCCTTTACAAGGGATTTTTTTTGTTCCGTTTAATGTTTCAGTCTCTTTTGTACTATGAACAAGTCATTAGGATATAAATACAAAATTGAACAAAAGGTAAGAGTATGCAGATGCTAAGTGTTTTTCAAAATGTCAATCCATTCTGCAGAGGTAGTATTTAAATAAATGAAATCCTGAAATCTTTTCAGAAGTATTACAAGTAAAACTTTTGTTCCATCCTGAAAAGGAGTTCAATGACATGGCAGGTGTCTATGAAGACTTTAAAATGTAGTCAAGAAAACCTCATACTTTGTATTTTGATCCCCTATCTTAGAGGAAAACCACAAGCATGAGATTTATTTTAACCTTTCTTGATGGTAAGAAAAAACTAAATTCTTTCACACTTTTTTCCAGATTTTAACAGACAACTCTCCCAATGAACAGGGCCTAAATAAAGTGTTTGATCTGTGTGTTGTATGTGGAGACAAGGCATCAGGTATTTACTTTTTCTTTCTTTTTTTTTTTTTTTCTTTTTAAGGCGGTGCAATTTTATAAAAGCAGTTTAAGATTCTTCTGAAGCTATATAACAGTTTGCATGCATATGTATATATATACACGTGCACAAACAGAAGGGATACACTACCATTTCAATTGAGAATTACACTAAATGTTACTCTAGTGTCCATGGGTGGACTTATTTATTGTTGGTTTACATCATAAATTTAATGTTTTCTACCAGCTAATTTTTGCCTTTTTTTCTTAGGCTGATAAATTTTATTTTCTATTACAAAAAATTGGCTGATAAAATTACTTAAGTGACAATGCTGAGAGTTTTTTCTTCCTTAAAATAAGGCCATGTGGTGAACTTTGTTATTGTTGACAGATTCTCTTAGATTATATGAAAAATCTGTTCATTATTTTAAATATGACACCAGTAGACAAGGGAGTATATGAAAAAAGTGCTAACATGAGATTTATGCAGGACAGTTAGTTATACGAAGAGCCATTGCTAAAATTGTAAAAATGCATTATAGTTCCAGTAAAAATAAGCTTAAGAATGGTATATTCATATATTGCCACCAAAGTAGAGTGCTAAGGTAAGAAAAGAAAAATGTTTCATGCACTAAATTTTGTAAAATAATGCTAAGAAATTGGAAAGAAGAATAGCGGGAGCAGTGCTCTGGAGAACTCTGTCTCCCACATTCCCTTTGCGGGTATGCCTGCCACCAGGTGTTCCAGATGTGTCAGAGGTGGAATTACTGAGAGGGTGTCTTGTCTTTTTTATTAAAAAAAAAAAAAAAAGAGAGAGAGAGAGAAGTACAAGGGCTGTTCCTCAGCATGGTTTAGCTGAAAGCTCCTTTGTCTTTGCACTTTCTTTGTTACAGAAGATAATGGGGTGTAAGAGAGATGGGACATTTAACTTTGCTCTTTACTTAGCTAAAATGAGACTAT